AGGCTGTGGAAACAAATAGGATCAGCAGGTTTGTCAAAGGTATAGCAAATTCATGAGCAGCAGGTCAACAGGCAGGAATGTACCCTCTGAAACTGCAATTACTGCTGCTGTGGGTGCTGGAGGAGCACAGTCACAAAGGGCTGGGCTCACATGCTCTCCCAGGATGGCATCTCCTGCTCCTGAAAACAACGCTGGGAGAGAAGAACCGATGATCTGACCAGCAGAGTGTTTCCTGTGTTCTCAGTTTCACCATCCCTAAGAGAATTCAGACCTTCTCGGATCTGGTTGATGTGTGGTAGGAAGACAGGGCAACCAGCAGGAAGAAAATTGTTGCATTTCCATTCAATTCCCATCTCTGTAGTGAAAATGTGATTAATCCCCAGTGGACACAGTCAGGCAGGGCTGATTGAAAATATTGTAATCTCACAGAAAAGGGTTGTCAGTGATACAGACACAGCACAAAGCTGGCTAGATCTAACCATCAAAAAAGACGTGGTCATCCACAAAAAGGAGAAGGAAAACCAATGCAGAGTAGGTGTGGAAAGTTTCTGCTGTTTAGTTGATGAAAGGCTCCAAAACAGAATCCAGGTCCTGGGAAGGCATCAGTGGCCAACGTCGTGTTACCACAGATCTGCTCCTTCTCCTCCCAGATCTAAAATCCAGGACCTGGATTCTGTTGTGAACATCTCCAGGGATAGGACATTCATGATGCTTAATGCCTTTTTGGTCACAGGAGCTCACAGAAGAAGAACCCAGCTCTGAGGGACATCAGCAAAAAGGTTTTCCAACATGTCACGCGCAGTGTTGAACTTCTTGTGATGGCAAAGGAGAGCAGACAGTGTTCCAGGTTCTGGGAATACTTGTTTTTATCAGCCCTGTCCTGTCTGGAGGGGCTTGTACAGCTGTGTTTGATGTGACTGCTCCGCTGGGAGTAGCCTCTGCTTCTAGGAAAGGAAGAAATAAAAATATTGGAAGTCCTTCATCAAAATTGGCATTTTAGTGAAGGCTGACTCTGTTTTCTGTCTTCTACAACCTCTTCTCCTCTTCCCACTGCAAAATAGCCACACTAAAAAGTGTGAATTAAAGTGTATTTCAATCATTCCAGTATTTTCAGACTGCTTGCCTGAAAAAAAATCCCCTTTACCTCAGCAACTGATTGAAGCCATCTCCAAACAGCCAGTATCTTTGGGAAGGGGTGGAGGGTGATGGGGTCGCAGAAATGAGACAAGAGGGTCTCTTACCATTTGCAGGGTAAAAGGAGGAAACTAAGGAACTATAAACCAGTCAACTTCAAATCACAAAAAAAAAAAAACCTGGGACATTTAATCGAAGAAAGAGATGATTAATAACTGCGGCCATTGCCAAGAACGAATCATTTCAGATGAGTCTGTTTTCCTTCTGTGACAGATTCCAGTCCTTGGTCCAACATTATTATTCACTATTCCTTCATCAATAACTTATGTGTTTGTAAAGGAGGATGCGCTTATCAAATTCTCAGATGTTCCTGAGCTGGAGGGGCTGCGGGCACCCCAGAGCACTGGGTTAAAATTCAAGATGATCGAGACAAACCAGAAATCAGTTCAGCATGGAAAATCCGACATTTAGGAAGGAGTAGCTGTCCAAATACACGGTGAACAAAATGCTTATGCAGCAGTTTTTCAAGAAAAGACCTATAGGTTGCACCAATCATGCGCTGCGGGCACCCCAGAGCACTGGGTTAAAATTCAAGATGATCGAGACAAACCAGAGAGATCAGTTCAGCATGGAAAATCTGACATTTAGGAAGGAGTAACTGTCCAAATACAGGGTGAACAAAATGCTTACGCAGCAGTTTTTCAAGAAAAGACCCATAGGTTGCATCAATCATGCATTATGCTATTGGCATATGGGATGTATAAACAGAAGAGCCGTTTGTAAAACACATGATGTTTTCCTACCTCTTTCCAGCAAGAGCATCTCCCAGCTGGTGTCTAAGATCAGCTTCCATAAGAACTGAATTCTTTTTTGTCCCACTGCTTCTCTGCTAAATTTTGAATGGGAAATTCCTAGGAAACTCCCCATGGATGCTTGACTTCCTCCAGGAGTCCTGTGTCCCTTTCCAGGATGCACTCACTCTCTTGGGCCATGACTATTTATCAGGCACAAGTAAGAGTAGTAATCAATCTACCTGCACAATGCGGTTTGCAGCCCCTCGAGAGACTGGTAGAAGTGTTGTGATCAGGTAAGTCATGACCATCAAGCTTGTTTCCTCACGTCGTTTTGGTTCCTCGACCAATAAAAATGAGCTCTGAGACACCACTTGCCTTGGTGACTGTCATATAATAAAATACCGTGGTGTTCTGTGGGTATCGTTGAGCCATAGATGCTTTGTCCATCAAGAATAAATGTTGATGAGTGATAAGACAGGCCTCCAGACCGTGGAGACATCAGACTAGGCTTGTGTCTCACCTGAAGATGTTCATCTTCCTTCTTCCCCAGAAGCTGCCTACTGTGACTCTGCCTCCTGAGCGCTGCCATGGCCTGGATCAGGGGGTTTTGCTCCCGAAGTCCACCTCCTCCACGTTGTGTGATGGCATTTCAGGCTGCCGCTGCTGTGGGCAGCACAGAGGTTGCCTCCACCTCTCTCATAGCACCAGAGCTGCAGCAATACAAGCTGCAAAACCAACCTGGGCCAGCAGTGGGATAAATATTGGACCTGCTCGACTTCAGGCCACCGGTGCCATGCTGCCTGCAGATCCCGAGGGCAGGAACATTAGCTCGGGGACAGCCAAGCTGCAGAAAGCTGCTGCTAGTGTGGCTGATCCCTCAGGCAGGCTGTGTCCTGGCACACACCAAGTCACAGCCACCGAGGGATGCCCAGTGAAGGGAGCCCAGGGAGCTAGGAGGCATGGAGTTCATGCCTGGGGCACCCAGTGCTGCAAATGGGCTACTGGGGAGGGCTCCTGCACCCCTCCGAGCTGGCACCAGTGTCCCCAGTGTGCTCGGGACCTGGGGCTGGCTGGAAGCCCATCCTGGCAGCCTTCCTGGAGGCTCCATTTCAGCCCCACAGACAGGACCAAGACTCGAACCTCTGCACCCTCTGCCTGGCCCCGATAAAGCACCATGGCTTGAGGTCCCCATCTTGTGGCAGCAGGGACAAATGGCTGGGACAAAACTCATCCTGGCTCCTGGAGCTCAGTGGTTCTTTGGCCAGGCAGAGCCCTGGGAAAGCGCTGCAGAGCCAGGACACTGCCCACCGCCACACAATGTGTCCTAAGGACACAGCATGCCGTGGGAAGGGTTGGAAGGGAAAGCCTTGGCAGAGGCAGTGGGGACAACTGCCACCCCCTGTCCCTCCATATACACACTGTCCCCTGTGTTGCTCTCACACCTTGCCTCTCATGCACACCCCAAGTGCATAAGAACCCCACCAGGGTCCTCTGTGGCTGGTTTTGGAGCATACCAAGTCTGGGCTGGATTTGGTGTTGGCTTTTCCTGGTGCTTTACACACTAGTCCATGTCCCCTTGCACACCTGTTTGCTCACCCCACCATGTCCCTGTTGCCCCCAAGCTCCCCAGGGAGCAGAGGCTCTCTGTGGAGCAGAGTTGTGCCCACAGCTACATTTGGGTGATGTCTGGCTGGAAGGGTGCAACCTGCTCCAACACCCTGCTCCATGCGAAGGTGGAGCAGGTCAGTCAGTGGTGCTCTGACCAGCTTTGTCTTCCCCTCCTCGCTGTGCCCAGGTGTGGTGGGCATGTGGGGTTGCAACACTTGTGATGCTTCGCAGGAGAAACCCTGGGGGCTGGAGAGTCTCCCTCTCTCTCCAGAGCCATTTGGGGTCTCTCTTGCCTCTGGTGCGTTCACTGATGGTGACTGGAGGCCATGGGGCTGGGGCAAGCATCCATCCTTTCATGTGGCAGGGGGCAAAGGGGCTCGTGGCAACCTTGGCTTGGCTCCCTGCTGTTTCTCGAACCTTCTCCCCCCTTGCACTGAGCACCTCCCAGCCCTGGCAGGGACAGGGCAGCCTTACTCAGCACCTGGCAGGTTGTAGCCCCCCCAGGACTATCTTCTCCCCCGTCTCCCACCACACCCACAGCTGGAGGAGAGCCCACGCTCGCCTTTATCAGCCACCCACCATGGCCGCCCCGCTGCAGGCTGCGATAAGGGCTGGGGGCTGCGCAGACGCCAGCGCCACAACACCCAGCACCGTTTCGCTGCTGGTGCTTGTTTTCCTGATGGCTCCTGCCCCACCACAGCTCCAGACCCAAAGAGCAGGGTGTGGGGCTCAGCCCCATCTGTTCCCCTTGCAGTGCCCCATGCCTGCTCTCTCCCCCAGCCGGCCAGCCCCCCAGGTACCCAAAGAGCAGGGTGTGGGGCTCAGCCCCTTGCAGTGCCCCATGCCTGCTCTCTTCCCCAGCCTGCCAGCCCCCCAGGACTCCTCCGAAGTGAGACCCCACCAACGCAGCGTTAGGTGGAAACAGAGGAAGCCCTGAGATGCCACCCAGCCCTGCGTGTTGGGGATGCACAGAAAGATGCCCTTGCTCTCAGAGGTCTTCACAGTGTCCTCGCTGCACCACCACGCAGAGGGTGACAGGCGTCAGGAGACCCCGTACCCCACTGTTTCCTGCAAGCATTTCCAGGAGGAGATGATCTCTGACAATTTGGCCTGAAAAAGGGCAAGGGGTGCACGAGGCTGGTGGGGCAAGAGGAGATCCCGTTGCGATGTTCTGCTGGGAAGGTCAGGATGGTCTGGGGCTGCAGGGACCTGCCAGTGGCCAGATTCTGGCCAGTCTCCGTGAAGTCTCTCCCCGCCACCGGTGCCTGGAAATGCCCCTGAAAAGCACGCATCCCCACCAGGCACCACCACCCAAATGCTGCCTCCTCTCAGTGACAGCAAAGCCAGAGCCCATTTCCTCCACGTGCCCACCTGGGATGGGGGGGACCCCCAAAGTTGAGACCCCCGGAGCAGATCCCTCCCGCTCCCTTCCCGCGGGCAGCAACCAGAGCAGGACGCCGGAGCTGGAGCACAAATGCAACAGATTTTATTTCAGATCATTTGGCTGTTTGCTGTGGGAGGGCTGGCAGTGCGTTGGGTCCAGCTCCAGCCATGGTGCCGTCTTAACGGTACTTGGCAGTCAGCACGTTGCCCACGGCGCACAGGAACTTGTCCAGGGAAGCGTGGACCTCCGGGGTCAGGACAGAGGGGTGGTGGATGGCCACCACCACCAGGAAGCATTGGCCCAGCAGCTGAAAGGCAAAAGGAGATGGTGAGCAAGGGGTTGAGGCGAGAGAGCGGCCAGGGGGGGTTGCAGGAGGGTAGCCGGGCTGGTCACCCTTTCCCAGGTGCTCACTTTGAAGTTGACAGGGTCCACGCGGAGCTTTTGGGCGTGGAGGTCGCTGAGCTTGGAGAGGGCGGTGGAGATGTCATCGATGTGGTTGGCAGCCTCAACTAGGGCAGCCGCCACCTTCTTGCCATGTCCCTTGACCTGAGCAGAGCCGTGTGACAGGTCGAAGTGGGGGAAGTAGGTCTTGGTCTGGGGGTAGGTGGCGAACATCCTGGGGGGACAGAGAGGGACAGGGACGGATGAGACAGGGACAGGGTCACGAAGGAGAGCTGTGGACGGGGAGAGGATGGGAGGGAGTCGGGGATGGACAGGTTCGGGGGTGATGATGGGGACGGACACGTACCTCTCCAGGGTCTCGGCGCCGTACTCCTCGGCATGGCCGCCGATTTTGGCGAAGACGCCCTTCACGTTGGTCTTGTCAGCGCCGGACAGCACCATGGTGTCACCTCCGCGTTGGCAGCCCCCACCACGGGTGCCCCCGCCGGTCGCCTCCTCCCTTATATGCGGTAACCGGAGCACCGCCCGCCCCCGGCCCGCCCCGGCCCCGCCGCCGCTGGACCCCGGCCAGCGCCGCGCCCCGCTCCACCCCACCGCACCGGCACCCGCACCGGCTGGGGGGGTCACTGCCCCCCCGACAGCAGCCGGGATTTGGGCCAGGATTAGGGTTAGGGCTGGCATCAGCGCAGGCAGAGCGGTCCGTCCCCTCTGGCAAGGGCCGGCTGCGGGGTTAGGCTTAGGGTGAGGGTCAAGGTTCAGGTGTGGGTTTAGGTTTTGGGGTCTGCACTGGTGTGGGTCCAGGTTGGGGTCTGCACTGGAGGAGTCTGTGTGTGTCCCCTCCCGGCACAGGATGGGTTCAGGGCTCGGTGTGGGGGCACTGGCTGAGGTCCCCCTGA